CCTTTCATTCTCCTCCCTTGGCCTATCTGATCAATGATAGATTAATAATAACCGCTGCAGAGTGCCCTGTCGCCCTCCGTGCCTTGCCCACTCCCGGCCTGCGCAGATTACCACCAGCCATCTACAGCCCATTAAAAACTGTGTTTACTTATCAGCCTCTCTGGTGCCATCGCTCTATTTTTGAGACTCATGTCCAAAGGGAAGGCACAGAGTGACCTTCCTACAGCCGTCAGTGCTGTAAGTCAGCACTCCCAAATGCTTTGTCCTATAATTCACAAACTCTCCAGAAGTCAATGTCAGTGGCTTATAATAATAATAATAATAATAATAATAATAATAATAATAATAATAACTTACTTGAGACGCTTCTGCCGGAAACAGAAACCCATGATGCCAGAAGAAACAAGATAGCGCTAAACACCAAACACCATTTTCTAGGTCCAAATGTATTTTGTTGTCCGTAACTTCAAAGGATGTTTTTCTTTTTGGGACTCTGGTAGTTTGTCCTGAAGTTGACGTGGTAGCTGTTTCTCCATCTCTGATATTGAGCAGAGAACCTCTCACACTGGTGTTCTGTTGCTAAAACGCAATGAGTGGAGGACCCAGGTAAGTGCGGTGGTTCGGCGAGACGATAACCGAATGGTCCAATGGTTGCTTTCAGTCCAAAAGGTTATATTGGTGGGGTTTTTTAGACAAATGAGAGTAAACCACTTTATTAATTTTTTCTTTTTTTTATCTTCACAACATATTTATAGGTAGACTATGTTAGAACATTGTTAAGAGGCATGAAAAAAACTTTTACGCTAATTTGTTTTCCAAATTTACCATTGCAGCTTTAAGATTAGTGGAGGAAACATGGAATCATAACTTTATGGTCAAATGTTGAAAACAACAGAAGATCTCACAAGATCTGATGTCACTCTCAGTTTATGTTGTGAATGGTTGTCAGCAAACACAAACATGCACCGTTTTTAACATGTAGATTTCAGATTTGAAGTGATTGTGGCTCCACATCGATGGGCCGTGGCAGCCATGGGGTTGATTGTAGTCGCAGATGTCCATCCGATGATAACTCGATGAGAGTTTTATCAAAATCCATCCAGCTGTTCCTGAGACTTTTGCAAACAAACGTGAATGCCAAATTTACATTATTTTTGAGTGTAAACATAAAAAACTATTCTGCTTTCACTTTATTCAGCTCATCAAAAGTCCCCTTTTATGAGGTTGCTGATGCTCTGTTGACATACATTTTTGCTGCCATCACCCGTGCATAAGAAAGGGAATGATTTTCAGCTCTCTAACTTCTAAACAACATAAGTTACAAAATCCTTGCAGACTAGTGACCACAGAATCAAAGCTGCACTCCAGTGCTCTTTATACTTGGCTTGAAAATGCTTTAAATTCACTTTTGAGTTAACTTCAAATGTGCTATTTGACTGACAGTTGAGACTCGTGATAGCATAAATAGGACAAGGTGAACTCTCTTCATTCTTTATTATTTTTTCAGCGCAGAACGTTATTTCTTATCTGCCAGAGTGTGTCATGGTCTACTTTGGGTGTGCTTAACTTCCCCCGACCTTTAAAAGGGCTGATTATTTCCAGCCACAATCTTCACTCTGCAATGCGTTCCCAGCACAAAAGGATATTCCAGACCCGCTGGACTGATAATTCCAGCTCTCGGTGCAGCAGCAAGAGAACCAAAACCACGGTGCCCTGCCTCTTTGTTATCATTTGACTTCCTCCATCTTCACCTTCACTGCTGGTTTTCGTTCACTCCTCACCTCAAGCGAGCAGCTCTGAGAGGAAAGGAGAAGCTGAGTGTTCCTCCAACTTCTACAGATTCATGCTAATTAACTTTCATGCATCACTCTCTCAGGACAAATTACATAATCTTCAGAGAACTCGCTGTGTAAATCTCCTCTGTGCAAGGAGAGTCCCATGCCTCCAGCTCGCAACGCTAAAAGACGAGGGAGAGAACCAACAGGTCTAAACGTTTAGTAGATTTTTATTCCACTTGTGGTAATCTTGTAATCAGAGGTTCAAGGGCGATCACATCTATCACCCAGGGAACAAATAAAAGTCTTATTGTGCCCTGCTTCCTTTCACCTCAGGAGGAAATGTGAGGAGCAGATAAATAATGGCCTTGTTTCAGGAGAGGCTCAGTCTGTTGGCAACGATTTGTGGGCAACAAAGTAATTTCGATACTGTTCTTTGTATTGATAGATGAGGCCAAAATTTAATATAGAGCCAATTTACCAGTATGGGTCCAGAGGAATGGAACTGCAGTTATCTCCCCTCTCTTTTCCCCTCTTTGCCTCCGTCTCTTCAATCCAGCTGAAAATTAGACGTCGGGAAAAGGACAAACAACACGAAGGGTAATATTTTTGACAAAGCTCTCTTATTAATATCCACCATTCCTCCTAAACACCTATACCCCCTCTGAGGGAATCATTTGCACCCCGGCTAACATCAGTATAAAAAAATGTATGTTTTTCCATTCGACTTGTCAAATGTTATATCTAATAGATGACAGCTAATGAAATAAATGAAATATAATCATTTTTAAAAAGCTGTTCAGTATCTCCAATAGTTGTGGCTCTGAACAGTTTTAAATTCTACATTTTTTATGCCTGAAGGGACTTGAAAAGGCAGCACTTTGAGAACAACTCTGACACTTGCTGAGCCACAGGAAGGTCTGTAAACTTCCTGGAGAATCTGCTTTAATGCAGAGCATGAGACCTTGCAGGGGGCCTTACAGCTGAAATACACTTTTCTTTTCATGGTCTGATGCCAGATGCACTGGACCTCCTATTGTTCATGCCACATAACAAGAAACTGGATGCCCCTGTGACCACATAGTGGCAGTGGGGAAACGAGATTGTCTGCTTCAACAAACGAACAGTGAAGAAATTGTTCAGAAAGACTCACTCACCAGCAGCGGCAAAGGAAAGGTTATTAGTAATGGGTTGTGGATAAATTAAGTACACCTGTGAAAAGAGCAAAAGAGACTTTTGAGAGATAATATGCTCTAAAGGGCAGACATTCTAGGAGCACTGCTTTATTGATCAGGTTACTCAGATTGTGATTGTGTTAATTGCCTTAAATATGGCAAAATTAGAATGAATCAATCTGATCAAATGACTGAATTCTGTTTTCTGTTACACAAGTGGAGCTCTCAATTTGCCAAATGAATTCTACCAGCAAAGTTTGTCTGGGATTCAGTACATGGTCACATTTACATGATGAGTTAGGTTCACTTTCATGCACACATAAAAACGTTTACTGATGCATGAGCTGTGTAATAACAGCTGTGGATTATAGATCCTAGAGGCAGGATGTGAGCACTGCAATGCTGCCACCTAAAGACTGAGCATCCACACAGCAATGAAGTCACAAACTGCATCCAAAGTTTCAAAGAACAGTCGTTTTTAGAGTTTTACTTTAAGATTTTTTGATTGGCATCTTTCCTTATTTTTTCTACAGCTATTCAAATCAAAGTTGTCCTAATATCATAAGCAAAGAAACATTAAAGTGGGTTTCCTAGAGCAGATCCTTTGCGTCTCTACATACCCGAGGCAGTCTGACAAGAACAACATATGTTTTGTTCAAATTTGCTGCCGTTAGCTCACACAGAAAACACAATGTGCATGTTTCAAAAGTGACATCTTGTATGAGAGCCCTTCTCAGTAGTTTTCAAAGACAGCCATCTGTTACCAACTCAGGGGTTCGTTTGCTGAGCAGGACAAAAGCAAACGTTAGAAAACTGATGCTGTCAATGAAATTAAGTAGTAAAAATTGGAATTCCTGCTGCTGGACAATAATGTACCTTATGGAGATACAAATAATTAAAACAAAAAGTACCACCAGATGACTGCAGTAGTGAAAAACAAACAAAGAACATTTCTTGGTCAAAACTGACATGTCAGTTACTAACTTATCAGTGATTTGATTGCTGAATGAAAGTGGTATGTTAAATGTTAATGGTACTGTTGTGTTTGGGGAGATGAATGTAAGCTGCAAAAACTGTATTAGGGAGGAGAAATCTAACTTAATATTGGAAAAAAAATGGGTGAAATTCAAACACAAATATTATCTAAATCACAGAAACAAAAACCAGCCTATTACATTTTACCACACTAATGTTTTAAATGCCTGTTAATCATTCAAAAGAAACTTTTAAAGACCATCTTGAGCAGTTTGAAACTCCATCACCCACAGTTTAATAATGTGTCTCCAAAGTGAAAGAGACAGCATTTTACATGTTCATTCAAGTGAAATAACATTTGAAGGGTTTTAAAGCAAATTATACCAAATTATATTAGGCCATCTTTAGACTAGTGAAAATTATTTATTGTTAAAAAAATGTTTACAGTGTTCAATTGTGTCCCGACAATAACTTTTACACATGTGAGTTGCTAGTATAAAATTTGAATAGAGAACAAGTAATTTTACTAAACATTTCTCCATATGGAAGTGGAATTAATAGATTTGCAATTTTTTTTATCATCTTTCATTCAAAGCCGACACCAAGTTCTACATTACAAATAAAACGTATCATAACAGCTTCTTTTTCTTTGCTTGTGTTTAATCAAATTAGCCTAATAGTCTGTTTCATCAGTGTCAGCAACATCTTTCCAAAGTTAGTGCTCAGAAACATAAATTCAACAGATCTATAGGTTCTTAGTTTGCTTCCTTTTTTATTACTAGAATGCATTGTTCCCAATTGAACGCATAGCCTTTTAGATATAAAACAACATGATTTTTATTTTATTTTATTTTATTTTATTTTATTTTATTTTATTTTATTTTATTTTATTTTATTTTATTTTATTTTATTTTACACTGCAAACCGGAACTTTAGTCATGCAGTTTAAATGGGAAGGCAATCACCGTGGGACCACAGGGGTGTTCATGTTAACTTCCTGTTTTGAAATCAAAGGCTCGTAAGTACCAGTCTGCACTGTATTATTGTAAGAGTTTTATTCATCCATTAAGTAAATTCACTTTTTTTGACAAAGTTAATGTATAAATAATTAAAGCTAATAATTTAATCAGTGAAGCTTCAATTATCTGTAGTTTTAGATGTCTTATGAACGAATGAGGTAAATATGTTCACGGGGAGATAACAAAATCGACCTACTTTCTATAAACAGATAGCGTTTATTTAAGACGTTTTATTCACAATTTTTACATAATTTCTGCTCTGTTACATACTCATGGAGGTCCGCTGAACTCACGTTGTTTTTAATCCCGCTCTGCAAGTCGCGCTGACACATCTCCTTTTTGATTTTCTTTTGGATTCTGGCCACGCTAGAGTTTTGTTGGAGTGTGTACAAGTGTAAAAACCATGCCTTTCCTCCACGGGTTCCGGAGGATCATTTTTGAGTATCAGCCGCTTGTAAATGCTGTCATGCGTGTTGTTGGACTTGAGGAAGAAGATGGCAGTCAAGACACCAGGTAATTCTGCTAAAAAAAAACAACAACATTACATTAACGGGTAATTTTTTTTTATATCATGATCAGTTTCTGTATCGTAACAACCACTGCATTTAAAATATAAATGGATTTTTTTAAAGCTTTGGATGAGACATTTACTTATCTTTCAGTTGTGCCAAAAGTCCCGAGGATGAGTCCAGTAGAAGCAGCTCTTTGGTGGAGCTTCTGGAACAAGAGTCCCAGTCTGAAGTGTTTTTGGAAGGCATCAGCTATGCCCTGTTTAAAGTGGCCGAGCGGGGACTTGAGTATGCCGCAGAAATCCTTCTACAATATGGAGCTGATATCAACTTTGAAGGTGAGTCATCCTTGGATAGTGTGTCCAAGTTTGCAAACACTCCAGGAAAAAGGAGGATTGCTCATTTAGGGATGTGCGGTAATGCACAAATATATCAAAAACTAAATTTACTGAAAATGTTTATTGAGACATAGATGCTCTTTGGTTGTTGTTACAATATTACCTTGTAGTAAGTGTTAAATGTGTGTTTTACGTGTAGATAACTTCTTCTCTTCATCTCATTGCTGCATGTCTCTGATATGGGTTTTTCTATTGCAGAATCAGATGCATGTATGTAAAGGTCATGTTTAGCTGATGGCTGATCGTTGGTCCTGATTCTTTGGGCTAATTTTCATGGCTGATATTTAGATGTTTTCCTCCTTATTTGCAAGCTAAAATTTTGTTAATAACAAGAATGGGTGTACATTTCTGAACCTAAATCAGTTTTTGAACACTGAATTTTACCAACCCATCAATTTTAATTTTGTGCATTGCACAGCATTGAAACATTTCATTATAAAACTGGTAAATCAAAATAAATGTCAGTTGTTTTAGAGCATTTATTAAGCAGATGGTTTTAGGAAATTTAAATTTAAGTAAAATAGTAAATGAATAAAATTTTAGAGTTTAAACAATTTAATAAAAGTGTTTAAAAACTCAATAATAAATGCTGCTAAAAACACAATAAGAACCTGCTGAAACACCAGCAATGTCATCAAAAATGCATTCAAACTTTTTGTATTTTACTAACTTGTTTTAACTTCATTTAAAGTATGAATGAAACATTTTTATGCACTTGACTTTGCAGCACATCATAGCAACAGACCCCTCATTTCAGAGGTTGGATATTCCTATCTGGACACATCAGTAATTTCATCAGTAAGCGTTTTTCTAAATGAGTTACTGACACAAAATGTCCATCAGTCACTTTCAACTCAAGTGTTTAATTCATTCAAAGACATCTAAACTTTTAAGTTCATAAATTATGTGTAATAAAGTTACACATCACTTACATATAACTTACCCCGCTTACACAAATAACACAGGGAAAAAGTATTAAATACATGAAGGAGGGTAACAATGTGCAAAATGGCAAAGAAAGCCAGGAGACCACCTGAAATTACAGTCAGTATTAAGAGTGAAACCTTGCCACTTTTGCTTCCAATGTGCAGTAAGTTTAACCCCTACTGCACAGTGGAAGCGTCAGTGGTGCGAAACGGCACTGCTTCAAATAAAATCCATTATTTTCAATGGAGTGTAACAAAGCAGCCGCGGTGTGGCAATTTTCAGACATGTCCCAGAAGCAGCATGTCGCACCGTCATAGTAGGATCGGGTTCTATTTTTGTGGTGAGTCGCTTCTGGGATGCATCAATTATCGCAGTTAACATAGGGCTAGACAGGAAATCAGTTTCAGTGTAAAATCCCCAGTAATTTTCTAAATAAAAGTATTGCAGTGAAGCAATTACATATTTATGAAGCTTACGTGTGACCTAACGGTTTATTTACTCAAAGCATCATTCCCAAAGTGCAGCGGTGTGTTTTCGTGGCTTTTATCCTGGCAGTGAAGAGGAGCAACATAATTTATGACATCAAACAGCGATAACGACGTGATTTCCTTCTTTTTTTGTTCAATAGTGGATTGTATGCTGGTGAAGGTTCTCGGTCATCCAGGTCATGGTAATCCAAAAAGGTTCAAATGAGGGCAACTGGACTTCTTTGGTTTCTCAAAGATGTTTCACTTCTCATCCGAGGAGCTTTGTCAATTCTAACTGGAATATGGGAGAGTCAAAATTATAAGCTGTAGCTGTCTGTTGTTATTTAACGAGCCAAAACTACTCTGGGTACCCCTCCTCTTATGGTGGATTGCATTAACAAACCGTAACCTTTAAAGTCTCGAGGGATCGTGTGGTCTTGCGAGGAGGTTGGCAGAAGTCTCGAGGGATATTGTGATCTTGCAAGTTGAACGAAGAGCATGGCAGAGAAGCTGCTTCGCTGCTGAGACTCTTGGTGTGCACTTAAGTGCAGTGATTATCGCGGGTAAACCGTTCCACGTCGCTGAAGCTTTCAGTGTGCAGCCGAGGTTACTGGGAGTCTGTAGTATGGTCAGATGAAAGCAAAATTGAACTTTTGGCTGTCGTTCTACACACCATGTTTGAAGAAGAAATGGCACTGCCCACCTATGACAGTTAGGTTTTGGGGTGGAAGCATCGTGATGTGGGGCTGCATTTCAGAAAGGGGTACTGGCGGACTTCATATTATTGAACGCAGGATGAGTGAAGAAATGTACTGGGACAAAAATCTGGATAAAAATCTGCTGCCATCAACCAGAAAGCTGAAAATGAAGACTGTGGACAGTTCAGCGAGACAATAATCCCAAACAAAAGGCCAAGGAAACAATTAATTGGTTTCAAAGAAAGAAAATCAAGTTGCTTGAATGGCCCAGTCAGTCACCTGACCTAAATCCCATAGAAAATCGATGGAGAAAACTGAAGATCAAAGTTCATAAAAGAGGCCCAAGGAACCTACAAGATCTGAAGACCATTTGTGTGGTAGAATGGGTCAGAATCACTCCTGAGTAATGCAGATGACAGGTCTCTCCAAACATGAGGCGCCTAGAAGCTGTAGTCACTGACAAAGGCTTTTCTACAAAATATGAAACAAAGTTCGTTCAATATTTATTTCCTGTGTCATTTCACGTTATTTATTATGGCTCAACTCGTATACTTAATTGTTTTGATTTCTTGTTATGAATTCAATATTTGGCTTGATGACAACATCTGGTGCAAATGTTGTGTCAATAGCCCACTTAGACATACCCTTACTGATGAACTTGCTGATGTGTCAAATAATTTTCCCCGCTGTGTGTGGATATGCCTGATTTTAAATCCACTCGTATGTCAGTGAATGGTGATATATAAAATAAATGGTAAATATCGGAGCGATATAAATCGATCTACCCCTGACAGAGACAGTAGAGGCCTTGACACTACAATGGGAAATTACAGACAATTAATTTCACCATATGGTAAATCAAATAGTTTTATATAAACAATGCTATGATTTGTTGTTTTGTTTAACCTCCCTTGGTGGTGATTCCATAAATGTGACTTGTAGAGTCACACACAACTTCTGGAAATACATATTTGTATAAAATATTTGTATCTGAATAGGAATGTTAACATTGTTTGTGTTAAATGTATCGTAATGGAACAAACCTTTTCTGTTGGTAATGGTCAGTAGTAATGCAAAAAGTCATCTGGTCTGATCAACCTCATCATACCTTTTTCTTTGTGAGCACATTGTTGAAAGTTATTAGTTGTCAAACATTATTTTTTCATGTGTTTTGAGTCTTGGCTTGATTCTCAGTGGCTCTCAAAAACAGCGTCAGTGTAGGAAGATAAGACAAGTGCTTGTGTTCCTGGTTTTTCCATGTAGCGGCACATGTATAATGGGGGAGTTTTTATACACTTGACAGAAATAAGTCTTTTTATATCCAAAGTTCAGCAACACATACTTCACATGTTGCTGCAGCTGCCAGGACTCAGCCGAGCTGCGCTGTGGTGACCTCTGCTGGATTCAGACATGCGTTTTTCCCATGGGACATAATTAGAGGATTCTTGCAGAGGCTGCTTCATTCATCTCTCACATTTTTTGAATGTCTCTCTCTCTTCTCTAAGTTAGCACTGACAAATGTTCTGACAAAGCATGCAAACATGCTCCAGTTTTACTATATTTCCTAGTATTTGCTTCTTTTTACGCTCAAAAGTAGGCCAGAAGCTTTCTAGCATTGAAAATACTGAGGCAGGATTACATTTAGTTTGTATTTCTTTCTATTAGAAATATCTGCTTTTGTTCTTAATTTTGTTTTGTCTTTTTATAGCTTTTCATGTAGTTAACTTTGATCCTATTTTTCAAACTTCACAAGCTTTAGAGCCAGCAGGGTTTTTGCTGCTATAGCAATACCCTATACCTCAGTCAGGTATATTTTTCTAATAAGCATCCAATTTGAATAATGGGGATTTTTCATTCTCTAGACCCAGTGTCTTACTACAGTCCACTACATATAGCTGTTCTAAGGAACAGGCCAAACATGCTGAGGCTGCTTGTTGGACATGGAGCAGACATCGAAAAGAGGGACAGGGTGAGTATCTGTGTCCTGTTTCACCTTGATCCAGATTCTTTACATTTTATTTTGAATGCTCCATGTTTGTAGATTCATGAGAGTAGTCCCTTGGACCTTGCCAGTGAGGAGTCAGAGAGACTACCCTGTCTGCTCACTTTGTTGGACCTGGGAGCTGATGTGAATGCACAAGACAAAAATGGTAAGTCTGCATGAACTGATCAAACAATGAAAATAAAAATAAATGAGTACATCTCACTACATTTGTCAGATAACATTTAGTTTCCTTTCAAAATCAACATTTTTCTATGAGATACCATAGTACTAAATACTCCCACAAATGTGGGTCATTGATTGCAAACAAGATTTGTTCATTTCACACACAAAAAAGTGACTTTCCTAACAAATCAATTCAAGCCCATGTTGCATAAATGAGCACACCTCAATTATAGTCTTAGGAGAAAAGCAACAAAATTCAAATTAACAGGCATTACAGTTTTTTTCGATTGCTAAAACACGTTTTTCAAAACTGTACGTTTCTTTCAAAACTGCACACACAAAACCCCAAACATAACACACGCATTCCTAAACCGTGGCTTCCCTTTGCAACAAAACCCTGCCATCACATATCGTAACATGTCCCCAAAATGGAACACGTGTTTTCATTTGGTAAACACAGCCACATTTTCACATGACACACAAATACCAGTCATTGCTTAAACACAAGTAGGCTTTGGGTGTACACTACCAAGCATGGAAAGAACACTGAAGAGCAAAACTGAAAACACAATTGTCTAAATGGAACACAATGAATTACACACTGAATGTATGACAGTAACCACTTTTCTCTGAGACAAACATTAGACATCACACAAATTTTGAGACTAAACATTTTATTTTTAGTTAAACCCACCCCCTCTCTCCCATTCAAGCATAATCATGGGGCATCATGCCTCCTGTCTCTGTCTGGCCAGAGGGCCTCATCAACATCCTCCTGGTCCAAACAGAGCTGGAAGTACCGCCCCGAGTGCCTCATGAAGTCCTGACAGGCCTCAAAGGCCACATCTCTACAAGCCTCCTCCATGGCTTGAAGCAGTGGGACCTGGCTCTGTGGATTCCTTTCGTACACCTTCCACCTCCAGGCTGAGAAAAACTCAGTGGGATTGAGAAAGGGGAATAAGGTGGAAGGTATAAAATGGAAAACTGTGGGTGGTCCTGAAACCACTCATATACCTGGGTAGCCTTGTGGAAACTTACTTTTATGCTGCAGTCCCTGATTGCAAATTGCTCGCCAGACCCGAAAGTTTCGAGATTTGAATATTTGTGTGTTGTTGATTGAAGCTTTGAGAATTTATGTGAGAAGTGTGTGTAAACCTGAAAATTGTGTGCTGTGTTTTGACAGCAAGGTAATATGAAATTGACATCAGAGTGTAAAGGAGGAAAATCAGAGTTCTAAAATGATAAGGAAATCTTAAGTAGTGATAAATTGAGTCAAGCGATTGAGAACAGAAGTAGAGGTTGTGAAAATTGTGCCTCATTTTTGCTTTTTGAGTTTTAGCAATCGAAAAAAACTAAACCACAGGTGAGTCTAAGGATCCATTTAAGAGGTGTCCAGCAGACAGGTGACTATACAAGGGCATTACTTAACAAAAAAAGCCCTTTCCATTTCATGCTGTCAGCAATGGCTCCACATGGAAGAGAAATATCACAAAATCTGAGAAAGGAAATCATTTCTTTACATAAAAAATTTGAGGGCTGCAAGATCGGCAAAGCTTCACATATCAGTCAAAATACTGTAGCAAAAGTGATCCAAAAAATGGAAGTGCAACCATCTTACAGAGATGTCCAGGTCGTCCACAGTAGTTAACATCTCAACAGGAGTGTCTTTTGATGAGAAGGGTTGAAGAAATTAACAATGCAAGTTCACTGCAGTTAGCTAAAGCAGTAGAAAGCCAAACTGGAGTGACCGTTTCCCGTGACATCATATTGCGCACACTGCAGAGGAATGGCATGCATGGGTATCGTCCACAAAGGAAGCCTCTCCTAAAGCCCATGCACAAAAAGCACGCCTAGGATTTGCTAGGGCCCATGCTGAAAGAGAGGAAGACTACTGGGACTCTCGAGTGATGAGGCAAAGATCATTGTTCTATTTCATCTAGTCTTAGCCCTTAAGCGAGCTGCTATTGGAAGGGTGATCTCAGCATCAGCCAATCATGAAGAGCTTAAATGTACGCCCACCACGTGGGCACCCCTTGTGGGTTATATAAGTGGAGCGACTCCACTGCTCGCCTCCGTTTTCTCTTCACGCCAAGCTTAAGAGCTTCCTTTAAGAGCAATTATACAAGAAAAATCTACTCACCGACCATGTCCAGCGACGCCAGGACCTGCCCGGCCTGCCAGACGGGCTTCATCTCCAGCGGCGACCTGCACGCCAAGTGTGAGGTCTGTCTCGGGGCTCACCACGCTGGCCTGGCCTTGACCCCCAGGCCTCGTGCCCGTTTTGTACCGCTCTGCCCGTGGCTGAAAAGGTCCGCCGGGTCGAGTACTTCACCCCCTCCACCGACGAGGAAATTCCGGTGGCTGGCACGTACTCGCTGGACAAGGCGTTACGGTTCTTCAACATCGGCCAGGAGCCCCGGCTGGCTCCTACCGATTGGACAGTGTCATCGACAGCGAGGAGTACGACGAAGCTAGCTGCCATAGCCCTTCTTCCCTCCTGTACAACACAGAGGTCGACCACGAGGCTGGCTGCCATAGCCCTTTTTCCCTCCTGTGCAACACGGAGGTCGAGAAGCCTCGTGAGGAGTACGACGAGGCTGGCTGCCGCAGCCATTATTCCCTCCTGTACAACACGGAGGTCGACCACGAGGCTGGCTGCCATAGCCCTTTTTCCCTCCAGTACAACACGGAGGTCGACGAGCCTCGTGAGGAGCACGACGAGGCTGGCTGCCATAGCCCTTTTTCCCTCCTGTACAACACGGAGGTCGACGAGCCTTGTGAGGAGTACGACGAGGCTGGCTGCCGCAGCCATTATTCCCTCCTGTACAACACGGAGGTCGACAAGCCTCGCTCAGCGGGTCCTTCTGCTCCAGTGGTTTCTTGCTCCTCCCTGCCAGCAGTTAGAGCGCTGCTCCAGGAGCTGCCCGCCATCATCTCCGCGGCTGCGACCCGCAGGGGGCTAGCCGTTCCAGAACCGGCTCCCCTGAGGCAGATGAATTGGCGGGAATTTTCGGGGCAACACAGACGCACTGTCCAGACCCCGTCTGGCCGCGCTTCCCCGCTGCCATTAGCTGCTGGTCCGCCACCTTCTCCGAGCCTGCCAGGCTCGAGGCGCCAATTTCCACATATGCGCCCATTACCAAGGTCGAGGGCTTCTCCGACCAGGGCTGGCCATCCGTTCCTCCACTGGAGCCGGACTTGGCCTCGCTGTGTGGCGTCAAGAACCACCTCACTGGACCGCGAGCAGTTCCCGCTAAGCATGACCAGCTGCTGAGGCGGCTCGCCGATCGTGCACACCAGTGCGCCTTCCAGACCGGCGCTGCAGGAAATAACATCGCCTTCTCGCCTTTGGTGTTTCCAAAATGGTGGAGGAGCTTGACTCTCCTGTCGAGTCAAAAACCATCATTACTAAAACTGCTGATGCCATCCTCAATCTGTGCGCTGCTGTACTCACCGGTTCTGCTCGCATTGCTGCCTGGCAGACCCTTATCCAGTAGCCTTCTGGCTCACGGCCCTGCCCTCCATTCCTGAACACCTGCACAGAGAGATGCTGGAAGGCCACATCACCTCTGACGTTCTGTTTGGTCCCCATCTTACGAGCGTCATCTGGAGGGCTCAGCAGCTGAACTTTCAGCCATGGTGCGAGACCTGGTCCACTCTTGGTCAGCCTCGCACTCCGGCCGTTCCCCCAGAGGATGGGACGAATGGCGCGGAAACTCCATGCGCCCAGCTGCACGGCCCGCCCCGCGGAGCCGGCCTCCCGCTGAGGCGGGACCAGGGAGTTGGCGGCCAACGGTTCCGAACGAGCCAGCAGACACATACTTGGCAGACACAGGAACCTCGCCGAAAACAACCACGAAAACGACTCGTTGGGGGGAATGTGTGTGCTTATGACTGCAATGTTAACTCTGTGAATTATTTTGGTTTTGAAATACAACCCAAAAAACGTCACATCGAGAGCAGAATCCTACAGTCCTCTGCAGAACCTTCTGCCGAATCCTCACACATGATGTTCCCCGCACCAAGCACTGCAGCACATCTGCATGTTCACACAGTCGGACTCGGTCATGTTACATGGTTAGCTGTAAGGGTGCGCTCCATTTGCGCACTGCCCCCAGCCTACGGCCAGGCCCGACTCATCCCGCTTCCCCCCACAACGTTGGGTGGGACGGGATGTCATGGCACTGTCGCGACCACGCGCAAAGCGCGCACATTGCGCGGCTCCATCCCTGGCAATTTGACGTCCCCGTGCACGGGCCCGGTTCCCACTCGTCCTTCATGGACTCCACGCTCTGCGGTGCGGATCAGCCTCTTCCAGCTGTTTCACACTCGCCCTTTCGAGCACAGCCCTCCATGGGTCGCTCCCAGTTCTCTGGTACGAGCGACGGCGGTAAGGGCGCGAAACCAATCCTCAGACGTTGCTCACGTGACCTCGAGCACACGTCCGCTGTCGGAACGCGCGCACGAATGCCTCCCTTTCGGCTACTCGCTAGCCCAGCGCACTTTCTCTAAATGTCTGGAGACCGCGCTGCAGCCACTGCGCACGGCGGAAACGAGGGTTTTATTTTACCGGGAAGATCTGCTTCGATGCGCCCGGTCCGAGGACGGGGCGTCAGTGCAAACCAGGAGGTTAACAGAGCATCTGTCAACCCTGGGGTTTTCTATAAACTGGGGGAAGAACTCCGTTCTTCCATCCCAGTCGATTATGTTTCTCGGGGTGGAGCTGAACGCCTCTCTAATGAGAGCACGTTCGTCGCCGGTGAGAGCGGCAGATCTCACCACGGTGATCTCCCGCGTGCAACTCCGCGAGATCGTGAGAGCCCTGTTAGTCATGAGACTTCTGGGCATGATGGCTGCAGCCCACTCGGTGGTGCTGCTGGGGTTGTTGCACTCGAGGCGCCTGCAAAGTTGGTTCATCTGCCTCCGGGTACACCCGATACGTCAGAAGAGACGTATGTTGAGGGTTCCCCCCTCAGTGGGCGG